CAATAGTGATTTGCTCCGCAACTCAAAAGCTGGACTGTGTGAAGAATTCAATGGTGATTTGCTCTGCAGCTCAAAAACTGGACTCTTGTGAATTGCCGACCTGTTGATGAATGAAAAGGCGAGAAGTACAGCTAGGCCATGAGAAACATCTGAAACCATAAAATCAAAGATGTAATAAATGGCAGCCTAAAAGGCTAGAAAAAGAAAAAAAATTAATGCAAGGACGAGTATAAGTTACGGCATTTACGGTTTTAAAACGTTGAGATACAAAAAAGACAAGGGAGAAACTGCACAAACAAGAAAAACCCAAAAGGCTACAATGGATAGAGAGAGCATTCAAATCTCCATTTCTAATTCCAACAAAAACCCAGTTAACCCAATGCCCTACCAGATATTAAATGTTCTAACAGCACAGGCCCACATAAATTTTCCCACTATACCCATGATAGTTTCAAAATTGAATTTTACAGTCCCATTTTCTTCTGTCAGTTACGAAGAAAGTAGAATCACTAGAAATCAAAAAACTCTCTCAATTGCCAATGGAAACTCTAAGCCAAGAAAATAAAGATTGCATAGCAATGAACTGATGGCCATAGTGAGCGTTAGCAGATGAAATCAAAACTTTCAAGGCTATCCAAAAGACACGAGTATGAACAGAAAAAGAAAATGGAAACCCTTTTTGCCAAAAATTCTTTATATCTTCACAAACTTGCCCATTAATGGTATCCCCGCAATTATACCTAGAAAACTTGACGACAAATTAGAAAGTGTATCCTACTGTGGCTATTTTGGAGCAACAGACAACAATGTCTCTACCCTTATAATCTATTCAAGTCCCAATAAACTGATGAGGAGACTGACGTTATGGTGGGCAAACATTTGACATTCATATATTATCCTTAAATTCTAGTAATGTTCAAAGAATTTACATGGCATTCTTTTTTTCTAGAACAACCCGAACTCCAAGACCTCCATCTTATCTTTCTGCCATTACCAACCGCAAATCACAACCCATGCTCCGACCAAACAGCACCTGGTGAGACCATCCACAAACTCATCATCTCATTTCCCATGTCCAAGAAACAAGAATATCAGAGCCTAGTTTTCCCTAAACTCTGGATAACACTCTTGAGTGTTTTCTTCCTTAAAACCACAACCTAGTTTAGCAAGGGTTCTTTTTTTTCAGAGGAAAATACTCATATGCATAACCAATCAATTTTACAAGTGATCTTGCTTTGAATAACCCAAACCAATTTCCAAAAAGTTCCAGGTAGATTGAAAAGCTTACTTAAGAAAAAGAAAATAATCTAGTTACCTTTTTGACTCGAGGGGGAACATGAAGACCCGTTACAAGAGGATTATCAGCATTCAAGACTACAACATCCCCGGGCATTGCTTCCTCTAGAATTTCCCGTTTGGCCATTGCTACTTCCTCCAAGCTGCCAAAGTTCTCTAAATGTGACGCACCAACGTTCAAAATACCACTTATATTGGGCCTACCCATCTTTGCCAACTCCAGAATCTGTCCCTTTCCACTCATTCCCATCTCCAAGACTGCAACCCTTATACTCCTAGGAAGCCCGATCAATGACAAAGCCGCCCCAATTCTATTATTCCAATTTCCATGACTTTGATAAACCTCGTCTAAACCCTCAAGACATAATGCAATCATAGCTTTTGTAGTAGTTATCCCCGTATTGCCAGTAACCCCTATTAGTGTACCAAGAAACTTCTCCCTCGCATAATTTGTCATATTGATCAAAGAAACCAGAGTCTCACCACTAATCTGAACAAACCCTTGTCCCAATTTTCGCAAACTCGAGTTCAAATCACTCCGACACATCCTCTTTTGGACAATTCAGGGGTTACGAACTGATGGTCATAGAACTTTTCGTCCTTAATCGTGAAGAACCATTGGGTTGATTCTAGATTTCTGGTGTCTCTACAAACGGAACCAGGAGGTCCCCATCTCAATATTCTGCCTTGGACAGCCTCTGCAATCTCTGTAGCAGTCCAGATGAAGAATTGTTGATGGAACATGATGGGTAATTGGGGAAACCAGATTTATGGGGTTTAAGGAGGCTTTTGGGGGTGAGCTATGGCAAAAGCTTGGGATGAAAATGGAAGGAGGGCAGCTTGATTGAGATGAGATGGGAAGAATTTGTGGGTTTGGTGAAAGAAAATGAGTGAAGTTTTGTAGCCATGGCTCATGGCTGAGTCTGTGTGACAGAAACCAGAGAGTTCCGGACCTCAAGAAGCAGTAGACTTCAAGTCATCACCTGGACATTTGTGTCTGAAGTTGCAGTAACATGAGTTGTGTTAAGCATTTATTGTCTGGACGGTCTGGTAGTCAATTGAAGTATATTATTTTATAAACGTTATAAAATTTTATTTATTTTAATTTTTAATTTAATAAAATAATAATAAATAAAATCTGACTTATATATTTTAACTAAATTTTTAAAATTACCGAATCAGTATTATATAATAAAAAATAATTATATTTTTCGTTATATTTTTATTTTTTGTTATATCATTATAAATAAATAATATTTTTAAATATTTTTTAATTTTTAATTTTTTAAATTTAATATAATAATATATAATTATAATTATTTATTTTTAATATATAAATAATTTTATTTTTATTAAAATAAAATTAATATAATAATATAAATAATAATTATTTATTTTATTAAATATAAAAATATAATTTAATTATATATAATAATTATTTATTTAATTATATTTTTATATAATTTTTTTATTATATATTTCTTATATACTATTTACTGTTATATATAATAAAATAGGAATAAATTTATAATTTAATTGAATTATATCATCTTATTATCCAAACAAAACAGTTGTCATTAACATATATTAATACACAATTATTTAAATATAAAAAAATTTTATCATTCTCATCATATGTCATCGTCATTTAATTACTATCATTACTATACAATAATTATCTATTACTAAATTTATCCAAATAGGACCTTAAACTAGAGGAGCGAATGTTTTGTCAATCTTATCTTCTGTTAAAAATAAAAAAATATTCATCTTATATAATAAAATTTTAAATAAGTACACGAGATATCACACATCTTAATAAAAATAATAATAATATTTTTTACAAGTATATTTTATTAGTTTATCAATAATAATTTTAAATTAAAAATATATTAATTTAATATTTATCATAAATTACTCATTTTATCTTAGAAATTAAATAATAATATTCAGAATTAATATTTTATTGAACAAAATAAAATGAAGCAAATTATGAACTTAGTTTTTAAAATTTGACAGCTATTATAATTTAATTCTTAATATTCTTTATTAAAATTTAATTTTTAATTTTTTTTCATTTGTTTGTGTAACAGCCCCGGTAATTCAAAATGAAAATTATATTATAAATATTAAATGCGGAAGCGATATCAAAATTTCAGTTAACATCCCTTACACGAAAACCAAAAACGTACTTAAAATATAAAAAATTAAACTAACTAAAAGAGAAACTCGAAAATAAAACTATGAGTATGACTACAAAGTCTCTAGGCATCCCCTTTGTCGTTCTCCTGCGGAACAGGCTCGGGAACCATGTCTTCCTTATCTGAAATGGTTAAATAAGGAGTGAGCTACACCAGCCCAGTAAGAACATCACGATATCTCACCGTCACGGAGGTAAAGGTGGGTAGAAAAACACAAAAGACCAATGGAGCATGATTTACAACAAATCCCTTTATTTATGATAAAATCTTTACCATCCACTTACCTCGGTGGAATTCATGAAACAATATAAGAAAACAATAACATTATCACAATCATGGAATAATATAAGCTGTAAAACATAGCACTTATCACGCCTTTTGTAATTCAATCATTATACAACATATCCTTTTCTCATTTACCAGCCTACTAGTATCTATGGAGGTCCCTAGGGGTCCCGCTACCCGTTAACCTTTAACATTCATAATCAGTTTCCAGGGCCGTCCCCATACCCCGTCCGGTATGGGCGCCAAAACCATAAACCTCAATACTCCGTTCGGTATGAGGGTGAAACGGGCCGTCCCCATACCCCGTCCGGTATGGGCGCCAAAACCATAAACCTCAATACCCCGTCCGGTATGAGGGTGAAACGGGCCGTCCCCATACCCCGTCCGGTGTGGGCGCCAAAACCATAAGATCTCCATACCCCGTCCGGCATGTGAGACCACAATCCCGGTAGGGTTCCCTACGGACCTGGTCCGTCCACCATCTCCCAAGATATCTAGTCAGGCTGACCCCATCATACAATTATCAGTCTACACAATGTTTCATTTTCCTTCTCCTCAATAAGCATCATCAATTCACATTTAAACAAGCAAATCGTAATTCATGCCAAACAGACAACATACAGTATCAGTTCTTCAGTCATTCAACCCATAATTAATAAAACAGTAATATATGCACTCGAAACTATAAAATGAACACATCAAACCTCATAATGCATTTAAAGCTGTAAAACAGGCCAAATAATAGTAAATCATCAATCACACTAGACTTGGGCTCCATTAGCAACCTTAAGCAATTTCACACATGCGTTAATTCAAGAAATACCGTTTTATCATTTTGAACTTTAATACCGTGATAGGAAATAGGGTGAGGGGTCCTTACTTGCTTTCGGGATCCGAATACGATTCACAGTGCGCCTACAGGCCGTCCCTAATTTTCTCTGAAATTTTTTCCCGGGGAACTGAAACACACTAACGGTACCTGCACGTGTTCCAAAAAATCTCAAATTAGGCTCAGGGCCCCTTTTTGGCCAATATCGCAACTCCGGCACGGCGGCTCCGCCGTGCTCCGGCGACGGCGGCTCCGCCGTGCTCCGGTGACGGCGGCTCCGCCGTGCTCCGGCGACAGCGCCGCCGCTTGCGGCGGCGATTCGCCTCGGGTTGGCTGTTTTCGGCCATTTCCGGCCGAATTCGGCCACACTCGCATCGGTCCCTGAGAGAAAACAACCCTAGGGCCCTCGGGGGGCCAAAAAATCACGGAGAAGCGGAGCTTACCGGCGGCGGCGCTCTCGGGTGCGGCGGCTCTCCGGCGAGGTTCGTGGTTTGGTGATTCGGCTCCTGTCAACCTGTAGGGAAAAGAATGGTGATCACGGTGATATAAAAATTGCATCAAACGGAGGCCGGGAAAGGCCTCGTCGGAGGCAAAAATCGAGAGGGGGCGCGGCGGCGCCGCTGGTCTTCGGCCGCGTATTCCGGCCGTTTGGCCGGGATTTTGGATTCGATTTGGCCACAGGAGGAATCAGCGTGGAAAACGAGTCGGGGGTATGAAATTTACCTCGATCGGCGGTCGGAAATTTCTCCGGTGCGGCGGCGGGTGGCGGCGGTCGGCCTCTGGTTCGTCTTCTCCGGCGAGCGGCAGGCGGCTAGGGTTTGTGGTCTGGTGTGGGGGTTCTATTTATAACCCCTAGCCTTTTGATCTCAGCCGTCCATTTTGTTTTAATCTGGGCCGTTCGTTTTTGATTGAATCTGGGCCGTCCGTGCGATTGTATCTGGGCCGTCCGATCGCGCGATTGATCTGGATCGTCCGATCGCGCCCACGCGGATCGTCAACGTGGCCCGTTCCGGAGCGACGTGGTCTTGCCACGTGGCAGGCCCCGGTTGGCCGGGACTGCTGACCGGGCCTGCTGACGTGGCTGCCGACGTGGCTTTTCTTTTTTTTTTTTTTTTTTCTCGGTCCGGGCGCTACAGTTTGAATGTGACAACTTATTCCCCACCGATAAGTTATAAATGTTATCAACTAACCAATTAAGAGAATTAGTTAAACAACACATACATTATAAAATGATTAAATACTCCATCCATTGAACATATTATAACAATATTTACAACTGGGCAAGAACACAAAGCACACATGCTACATTTTGGTCACCATATTACTTTGTCAGGTGACCTATATAACAAACATGCATCTCATCCACGTTTGGCTAGACTTTCATCCACCTATTGATAGAGTTTACCATCTGCTGAATTTCAGTTATATTAGTCGAATGGATTTCTTTTAAATGTTATATTTTTTTAAATTTATATTTTTCTTTCTTTTTTTGTTTAATTTTGTTTTAGAATTAATATTTTTATAATATATTTCTTAATTTTATTTACTTGTTACATAAATTTTTCTCCAAACCTAAACATCATATTCTTTAATTTTTAACTCACTCATCAAATTTTATTTTTATTATTTATCTATTTAATTAATTATGTATTTTCTATTTGTTATTTATGTAATGGCCTAGAACTTGAAAAGAAATAAAATCATAAATTGAATGCGAAAGCAGAATAATAGAGTTTGGGTTTATATTTCTTATACAATAGTTTTAAATACCCAATAACGCTACGAGAATGTTCATTCTAAAAGAACAAACGAAAATAGAAAAAAAAAATGAACGAAAAATAGACAACTAAGCATCCAAGAACGATCTTTACTAGCTTTTGAAAGAGTCCGGGTAATGAACTATTCACAACTATCTTGTTGATCAGAATGTAGGTCTTGGTTCTCTTGATATGAAATAATTAATGAACGAGTGAGCTACACTAATGCAGTAAGAATATCACACTACTCACCGATACAAAAAATAAAGATTGATAAAAATCATAAAAACAACTAATAGAGCTCTTAATTTAAGTAAATTCATTTATCATAAATAAAATCATTTATTGCATATTTACCGTTGCGAGATTTTCAAAACCGACCTATAGAAATAATAACTCAATAACTTTATAATCTCGTATTCAAGTAAGTAAGAATAATAACTTTTTTTTATTTGCCTACTGGTATCTATGGAGGTCCATAGAGATGTCCCACTATGCGTGACCAACATCCAACCTTATCAACTAATCGACTGTCTCCATACCTCGTCCGGTATGAGCGCCAAAAATACCATCCTTGAATACCCCATCAAATGTGAGGGTGAAATGGGTCGTCTTCATACCCCGTCCGGTATGAGCGCCAAAAATATCAATCATCGATACCTCATCCGGTATGAAGCAACATTCACGGTAGGGTTCCCTATGTACCTGGTCCGTCCACCATCTTCCAGGATATCCAGTAAGGTTACCATTCATTCATTCACTTAATCAATCAATTTTTTGTTTACATTTAATTTTTAGTTTCACAATTTAACCATAAATTAACGCAAGACAAACAATACATGCATCAAAAAAATACAACTAAATTATTTTACAAATTCCAGTATATTATCATGCATTTAAAATTGTAAAATCAATCAATCAGTTAAACAAGACAACAATAATAAATAACTGGTTCTCC